GATTCCACCCTAAATCGCGAATAGAGCTAATGGCAACAGTTCACTCTAAGTTTGTGTGTTGGAAAAGTGTTGGAAAACATTGGCTCTATTCGCGATTCAGGGTAGAATAACAGTTCACTCTAAGTTTGTGCGATTCAGGGTAGAATCAAATAGAACCGATGTTTTAAAACACACTAACTTAGAGTGAACTGTTGATTCTACCCTGGAACCGCGAATAGAGCCGATGTTTTCCAACATACAAACTTAGAGTCAACTGTTGATTCTACCCTGAATCACGAATAGAGCTAATGTTTTCCAACACACAAACTTAGAGTGAACTGTTGATTCTACCCTGAATCGCGAATAGAGCCGATGTTTTCTAACACAGAAAGAAAACACCAATATCGCTTCCAGTCATTCAATCTCCTCTTCTTCATAATGTCCTTTTTAAAGTTTCAAGGTTCGTTATTCTCCGGAAACTAAGCGGGTTTAGTTCCTTTTATTATCTATAAGTTACTCCGTGAGAACATAATTAGCGATTACATTAACTTAATGGAATCTTTGAATAAGAATATAAAATCAGTTATCATTTCAGTGTATTTAAATGTTGATGATATTTTTTTTCAAAAAATTATCAGATTTTGTACTTTCTATGCTACAGTCAAATAATCAACCTTATCAGATTAGTTTTATAACAAATAGTTAATACCTCTGTAGCTTCATTGTGGACGACATTTTGGCTAGTTGTCGTGCATTTATTAATGATATATGTTTTTCTTATTATTCTTACATGTAATATATATACAAGCAAAAGTACTCGTCCCCAGTGACGGGAAAAGTTTAAGTTAATCTATCAATTTAAGTTATTTCTTGGACTTTAAAAAGGTTAATTGTGTTGTACTCTTGATTTCACTCAAAGTCAGAGTTCTAAGCTACTTATACCACCCACCGCAAAAAGTAAATGTTGAACATTTCAGTCATGTTTAGAGCCACTCAACAATAACATACGGTAAATCTATATTTTAATTCTTTAAGTTATGTCACATTTTGAAATGTGAATGATAGTGTGATTAATTCATAACAATTTAGTGTAGAATATTCTGCTTGTGAAATAAAATTTGGCATCAACATTATTCATGCATGTTCTCCCATCATTTCAAACGGAAGACGGACGAACGCTCAGACAGACACCACGATTCGCAACATATATAATATATTATGTGGGAGATATGCGCTTCGATTTAATTCAGAATTTAGCTTAAAACGTTACACTTATTAAGATTCTAGAAGAAAATTCAAAACAGTAAACTACATGATTTTCTTCTAATGTTAATCTAAGGTAAATATTTATTTTTTCAGACATGTGTTGTTATCCATATTTTTTGTAAATGTTTAAATTTTATAGACCTGTTTGTTTTAAAAACTACATATACTAAGTGACATACCTGTTCAACGCACGTGGAAGGCATAGGAGTTTCCCGACACTCTATGTCATTACCAGTAAGGCCCTAAGAGTGCACCCCAGGATTGGTAACAATCGGTCCAACGGTCTGCCAGTTATAAGCGGACACACACACACAGTCTTTTGCCAAATAATGACGTAGATTATTGTATACAAAACCCAGAAAATGGGTGAGTTATATTTATTGGAAATTCAATGTGGGTATGTCATTCTGGAAACAGGGCTAATGTTACTTTTAATATATCATGTACTTCCATAAATACTGTCGATAAGTTATTTTAACAGGAATATTAATAATAATATAGCATGCGTATTCACGATTTCTTTTGGTTAAAACAATAGCAAAAACAACATAAAAAGTAGCAGTTTTAACAGTAAACATCAAGATTATTTCTTAATTAATGTATATATATATATATACATATACTGATATGTATATATTTCTCTTCCAATATAATATTTTAATTTATAAAATTGGTCGCGTAATTAACTAAAATAACAGGTAAAAATAATGCAATGTTAAAGATATATCGATTGTAACAACAGAAGCGAAATGACTTTAAAGAAGAGGATCTGTGCGAATAGTTTCCAAAAGGTGCTGTCATATTTCGTCTCTACAGATACGTCCAGATCACACATAAGTAACTAATCTGGCAACGTCCTGATCCTCATTACTTATTATTAACTGGAATATAAATCATAGATAAATTCCACCGGAATATTCTGCACTAAAGATAAATTCCCAACCTCCACATCGATCTTTAAATTGTACATTAAACAAAAGTAACAACCCTAACACCTTATCACGTAACTCGATAATATGCTCTAAACCTTTATATCTCTTCTTATATATTCAGTTTAATTCAAATAAATTTAGTTTACAATTAAGTAAATTAATCAACTAACACATTTATTATTTACATCCCTTTGTTTGTCGTTTAATATAAAATTATACAATCGGATCCCTCTGCTTTGTCTACCGCAGGGATAGAGCCACGATTTTTAAAGTTATAAGCTATCAGACTTACCGCTGAGCCACCGAAGATCTACTATTTACATTATTAATCATGAAAAGTTTTCTAGATGCTCAGTTAAGCTGGTTTTATAGCTCAAGATATTTATATACATTCCTATGGATCACCTATGTTTAAGAACTCGTCATTTTTTACTGTGGTTTCTTAATTTGTTCGTTAAAATCTACTTCATTAAAAACATTCAAGCATTTCAGGTCTTAGTTAAGAAGCTTATATTCATTTATTGTTTGTTTGTTTGTTTTGTAATTAAGCACAAAACTACACAATAGGCTATCTGTGCTCTGCCCACCACGGGTATCGAAACCCGGATTCTAGCGTTGATATTCATTTATTGGTCTTCTAAGTATTCATCTGTGGCCCAGGCGTTAGTGTGATAATATGTTGACCAGAGGTTCTGTGTTTCGCCCTCAGTTGCCACTAAAGTATAAATCGCGCTCTGCTCTATAGTGGTGAGTGATGTAGACTAGATACCTTCCCTCTAGTCTATCACTTCAACATTATATGGGCAGGTAGCGCAGATAGATCTCCAGTAGCGTTGCGAGAAATTAACCAACAAACAATCAATCAAGCAATTACTGTTTGTCACGATCTTCCAGTACAACGGTTAATTATTTAGTACTAGAGAAAAAAAAACGGATTCAGGAAAATTGAAGAATATACACTACTTTTAATTAAGACGTAGAGCTCTCCACCATATCAAGAAAAAAAATCATTGTCAATAATACGTAGAGTAATTTTGTTATTGTTCTTTTTTAATAATCATTTAATATATTTTATTTGATAGTTTTGAGCTCACATCCGCAGATAAAAATGCATTGGAAGACGAATGAATTGGACTTATATACGTATTAAAAATAATTTATAGTTAATAAAACGTTTCATTTAAATACGTCGTTCATAAGAAGAAAGTAATTAAATTACTGATTTTTTTGTCATGACTATAATATATATTAATATTGTTAATGCTTTGTTCTTTTAGTTAATTAGTTTGTTTGTTTTAGATTTTTCGCGAGAAACTACATCATCTTTTAAAACAACATGATTGGGAGTTTATTTTGTCACTATGATTGATTTCATAAGCCTAACATTGCGATTTGTTATGTGGAAAACGGAGAGCTTGTACATAATACATTCGAGTTTTCAACTTGAAAGTCATTCCTAATTTGATTGAATTTTGACACTACGGCAAGGTCACCAAGATTATGAGTTTACTGATCGAATTTTGGCACTACAGCAAGGTCACCAAGATTATGAGTTTACTGATCGAATTTTGGCACTATAGCAAGGTCACCAAGATTATGTGTTTACTGATCGAATTTTGGCACTACGGCAAGGTCACCAAGATTATGTGTTTACTGATCGAATTTTGGCACTACAGCAAGGTCACCAAGATTATGTGTTTACTGATCGAATTTTGGCACTACAGCAAGGTCACCAAGATTATGAGTTTACTGATCGAATTTTGGCACTACGGCAAGGTCACCAAGATTATGTGTTTACTGATCGAATTTTGGCACTACAGCAAGGTCACCAAGATTATGAGTTTACTGATCGAATTCTAAATATTTAAAACTTCAAAAAGTATAGGTTTTATCAAAGCATTTCATTGATTCATGAGTAAATAGATGTTTCATTTCCTGAATATATTGCCTCGTCCCGGTGACGCAACGGCAGACATGATGGCCTATAACGTTTAAAATCAGTTTTGATACCCGCAGTGGGCTGAGCACATATATATATCCCGTTTTGATACCCGCAGTGGGCTGAGCACATACATATATCCCGTTTTGATACCCGCAATGGGCTGAGCACTTATCTATCCCGTTGTGTAGCTTTGTGCTTATCAACAAAACAAATAAACTTAAACATTTTTTTTTCTTGTGGCAGCTTTCACGTAGTCTTTACGAACATTTTAAAAATGATTTTTGAAAAAAAGGTGATGACAATATATATATATATATATAATAACTAATTACTAGCCTTCAAATACAATTACCTCTGATTTGCAAAAAAATTATAATAAACTTTTTATCGCAATAAATATCATAGGTTATCAAAATTCAAAAATACTGAATGATATTATGTCTCTTACTCGAACATACTGAATTTAAAATACTATAGTTATTTACTGTTAGATTACTAAGACATTACTAACCTGATAATTAAAAAATCTTTATAAAATTGCGAAAGACAACGCCTTTGCAAAGCCATCAGTTGCTTCGGAGATGTATTGGTCAATGTAACGAGATGGAACGATAAAGAATCTTTAGAAACGTTAAAAGCTGAAACGGATCTGAACAGTAAGTTTAGAAAATTAAACTTCTGTACTTGGCCTACAGGAGATAATGCTTTGGCACAAGTACTGTATCTGTAAACAAGGTAAGGTGTGATCAAGGCTAACTTCTTTGCACTACATCATGGACATGCAGTGAAACGGAGTTTGCGCGAGCTAAAGCTGCTGGTCACGTGCACATCATTCATTACATGTGTAGTTGTGCGCGTTTGAAAGAAACATAAAAACTTACCATGTGCACCAACTTACGTCATGCGTTATTCTCAGAACACAGTGTTTCGTTTTAATACAAGCGGTTTGAAATATACAATAAATTGTAGTGACCGTTAATGATATTTAGTGAATTTACTCATCAGGTACTGTCCAAAAGAACAGAAAACAATTACGTCACATGTTATTTTCTGTATTCTTATTAGGACATTATTACCTGGAAGACACGGTTGATACTTTAGGTTATTTGTACAACTAGTGTCAAAACATATACATGTGACACAAACTGTCTGTCATTATTTTTAGGCATTAAATGTTGTAAGATCAAAAATTACTTTAGAAAAAAAGAGCTATAAGATTAATTTCATATTTTATACCTAAATTAGTATTTAAAATACGCTGTGAATAGCAGTCTATTAGGTCCACTTGTAGCAGTTACGGGAACATAGGGGTGTCTGGGTTAGCTTAAGCTCCTGCCCTTATGCCCCAAGAGTGCCATTTTTCTCAGTCACAAACAAAATTGTCAACAACTACTAAGAGATACGCCTAATTCCACACCTCGATTGTTGCGAGTTATTAGGTAGAAAAATTATTTCACTTTTAAAATGAATGATATTAAGTGCTAATATGCAAAAATTCACTGTTTAGTTTTGGGTCTTAAAAATGCTTATAAGACCAGTTGAATAGGGGTAAAAGGGGATTTATTTGCTTCTCATGGCTTTCCATCATATGTGTACCAGCGGCAACCCACAATCCCTATAGTTATCTCTACCTCCCCTCTAAGAAAAGCTTGAGTTACAACGCTTGAAAAGTGCCTGTTTGTCAATGAGTGTCTGCTTTTACAATGTTATCTGTACTTTACTAACTAGGTAGCATTACGATCAAAACGATGAACACTTCTGCCTTTAATAGACTGAGAACATTCTGGTGTATAAAGTACGTTATGTATATATATATATAACAATGTTTAATTAGATTTATTGCAAAATTTTGGAAGGATCATTACTGTTATCTTAAAATGCATTTCGAGTGAGATTTTGTGTTCAACTGTGTTTCAGTAAAGTTGTTTCTTCATATCAGTCAACTAGCGTGTACACCTAACTAATTATTCACAAGTTTTTCAAATTTTTTTTTTTAAGTTCAGCTTTACTTGAAGAGCATTAGGGTTCATCTATGTAATTGTTGATTCAGCACGGTTGATGTCTAATGTGTTACATTTTCATATGCAGTAACTAATAACGATTTTTAATAACAAGATATTTATTGCACATTTGGTGTATTGTGATATTTTATTTCGCCAGCTAATACATTATTTTAGAATGCAGCTAAATTCTGTTCTTATTGTGAGTAACTTGGTTAAATTATCTGTTATAGACTGCCACGTTATGTTAAAATAGTTTATCATGTTTGACGTTGTAAACAAACAATAATTATGCTTAATAATAACTTAATGATAATAACTTTATAGTTTTACCTCTATTGTAAGGTTATCTTCTGAACTTTTGTAAGACAGGCATCGAAACAACTAGAAAAACCTTATCACAGAGGCAATCAGAATCAAAAGGGTGGGACCCGACTATGTGCTCGTGTCAAATGCTCGCGGGATAAACATCAAACGTAGTTAGCACTACCCATAGTTAGTACTATCCGCACAAACGACTCAGATAATGTCAATATAGCACTCTAGTTGGTTGGCCACAGAATAATGCTATAACCCTAAGAAAGCTGTTTTTTTACATGTTGTCCACATATGTTCTTGTTTTTTTGTTTTTTTTTTTTGTTTTAGACGTACGCGAATTCTGGAACTGAAACACAAAAACAAAAACAAAGTGTATACATAAATACATTAATTATAAGATGGGCAATTGTACAGGTAAATATGCAACAGCAACAATAATATGAGGCATCTATACTTATACAAAGTTTTAAAAACATTTTATAAACGGACATATATATGAGAAACAGTAAAGATTATTAAGGAAATAAATACTGTGGTTACCATTAGGTGAATTCTTGGAGAGTTAGTAATCTTTCTGTATAATTACGAAGCTTGATTAGACAGGAAATTACACAGTGTAAAGCAGCTCACAACTTAACGAATAAGTTGAGGATTTTGTTGTAAAATAGGATAGACTATCTCTTAGCAGATGAGAGAAAGAAACAAGTGAATTAAAGTAAACACGTTTTACCTCCGCCACCGAAAGTGGACGGAGGTTATGTTTTCACCCTGTGTATGTGTTTGTCAGCAAGATTTCTCGAAACCAGTTGAATGGATTTGGAAGAAAGTTGGTATACATTTGGACTATGACCCAACTTAGAAGTGATTAGTTTTTTGGGGATCAAGTTTACAACAAGGTCACTAAAATCCAAAAAAAATCCCTATCTGTTAACATGGGGACCGAGTTTCACACTATTTTTGCTCTATAACGCAGTCAAAAAGTATCAGATTTTAATGACACTTGGTGAACATATGTAGAATATTATTCCTCATTGTCCTACCAAAAATGGTCCGTGTCCGTTGATATACGGACATATTTTCGTAAATTTTGAGAGCCAAATGTGATCAATGTTGCATGGTGGAAGTATGCACTCTACTGGGTCATAGTCCAAATGTGATCAATGTTGCATGGTAGAAGTATGCGCTCTACTGGGTCATAGTCCAAATGTGATCAATGTTGCATGGTGGAAGTATGCGCTCTACTGGGTCATAGTCCAAATGTGATCAATGTTGCATGGTGGAAGTATGCGCTC